TGACGTTAAAGGTAAAGCGTCAGTTGTCTGACGGCCTGGGATCGCCATCTACCGACGTTTAAGGGGGCCCTAAAAAGGCAAATATTGACGTATGGTCAAAAGACGTCTCAAGACGTCAGTTATATGACTTTTTGGGATGAGACTGTGTTACCTTAACCAGCTCCTCTACCACGTAGATGAGCTCATTAATGAAAACACCTGTTCTAGATGTAGAGGCAGATCCAAAAACATGGCAGGATTTTTACTTTCTGGCACCTGGACTATACACGGCTGGTGTCTATACAGTATGTGTGTGTGCTTGACCGTGTGCTTGTGCCACGTGTTTGTTAGTGTGTGTTTGTTAGTGTGTGTGTGTGTGTGTGTGTGTGTGTGTGCTTAGCCATGAAGATATGATTTGGCAATATCTTCCCACACATCTCTTTTTATTTCAACATGACGTGCTGTTTACATGTTCACATGTCATGTGCTGTGGGGCAGGAATCAACCTGAGCACATCCTCTTGCATTGGCCAGTAGTAATGATTGTGTCCCACTCTGTGCATGCACTTAACATGAACATGTGTCTCACTCACTTCAACAATGGTTCCAGGGTAAACCTCATCGTCATATCTGATGACACACCACTGACCAACAATGTCATCTCTGTCCCACTGTACTTCAAGTTCTGGTTGTTCTTGGTGCAATGCAGGAACAGCTGAGTTGACTTTGACCTGAAAACAAGTTTATATACTTTTATAATATTTATTGCAAAGTATTTTATAGTTACTGTACAATTAGAATATTAAATGAACTCATGAAAACTATAAGAACATGTCATGAATGTCAACTATGTTACTCTTGGTCAACTAAGTTACCTTTGCAGGGTAACATAGGTGACTGGTAACCTAGTTGACATTTTTGCTGTTTTTAGGGATAAAGTCAAAATGGTTGCCTAGCACCAGACACCACATGGCATTTTACAGAGAGGTTCTTCTGAATATTATATGCACAACTGAGTAAAATTGAAATTCAAAGTTATTTATGAATTCATTGTAGTAACATTGTTGACATATGATAAGTACACATTTGCCCCAAGCACTACTTTAGGTGAAATAATTGAAAATGTAGAGAGAGAACATACCTTGGAGTCTTCATAGGTTTCTCTTCAGGAGGAAATGACATCATGTGGAGCAGGTCATGTGATTTGGAATACACACTCTTCCTTGCGAGGTGTATTTGCTATGGGTAACTTAGATCAGTGTTTCCCAACCCTGTTCCTCGCGGCACACCAACACTGCGTGTTTTCTTTGTCTCCCTTATCAAACACACCTGACTCAACCCATCAGCTCATAATCAGGTGGGTTAATGAGCTAATGGGTTGAATCGGGTGTGTTTGATTAGGGAGACAAAGAAAACACGCAGTGTTGGTGTGCCGCGAGGAACAGGGTTGGGAAACACTGACTTAGATGACAGTAGCCGCGTTTCCACTGCCGGGCTAGGGCTGGGCCAGAGCTAACAGCGAGCCGGGCCGAGCTAGTGGCCTCGGGCCTCAAGCACCGGGCTTGCGTTTCCACTGCCGGGCCAGTAGCCCCACAGCGCTGCCCCAGACCCCACCCCTAACACGCCTTTCAGGATCAAACGTCATAAAACCCAACCCATTTCAGCGGGTATTATGAATTAATTTATTTTTTAAATTAGGAAGATAGCATGTATATTAACTCAACTGCCGTAGTGGCTGCAATAGTGTCCCGAGACCAGTACAGGCGATTCTCTATTTCAAGCAGCGATTTTTTGCGCGATATAACAAGTAGGGCTGCGGGCACGTTTTCAAGTTATTAATCGTTAACCGAGGCCCATCGGTTAATACTCGGTGCATAGTGTGCGCGCCGCAACCTCGAGATACAGAGTAAATTTTTAACACCTTTAATAACTGATTGGACCCCATTTGAAACGAAATTAATTTATAGAAATAAAACGCAGCAAGTACGGAGCAGTTAAAGCCCATATTTCCATCACCCTTCAAACTGAAATTGCCAATTGAAAATAAGCAAAACCTCCATTTCACAAAAACTCCGTGTCTGCAAATAATAATAATAATAATAACCATCATCATCATCATTATTGTAACATTTTATTAGGCTGCATATGTAGAAGACGTCTTTATCCAAAAAAGGAACAGAGCACAAATAAACACAATATTTTTGACAAATATCAGCGCATATCCAGTGTGTGTGGAGCACGCACTGATGGCTGCGAGACGCCCATGTGAACAGTTTCATTGCATTTCTTTCAGTGGAAACAACTTAAAATACTCTTTAATTTCTGGTCATACAGAAAATAATAATACATTATTCGCAAATACATTTATTTATAACAAGAAAACGTTGTGCTTTAACAATTAATCAAGGCGCGCTTCATGATCTCCGTGAACTGAAGCGCGAGACCTGAAACAGCCACCGCATTCGAATTTGTTCGTTTTAAATTGGACATTTAAAGCTTTAGTCTACAGGGGTTATATCCTTTGTAGATTAAAGCTTTAAATGTCCAATTTAAAACGAACAAATTCGAATCGAAAGCCAATATCTTCTATGTTTATGTAGCTTAATTTCTCTCTAAATGTGCATCCGGAGATGGAGATGTTTTTAGCCGAAAATCATTTAGAAAACAATAGTTTATTAATAAACAATTAATGCCTCGTTATTTTATATTATTTTATTATCAGACACATTTATTATAGCCTATAAATCACCCATAAATCCCCTTTCTGTATGTGGTTACGGCTCTTCTCATTCAGCACTGCGGGGAAAATATCATTTCCAGGTTCTAATTTGGCCTCAGAAAACCAGTAAAATATATATTTTTTTCATATTAATTTGTCAAATATTTTAAATGTTTAAGGGGCAAAAAAATCAAACAAATATCTGAAAATTCGTCGATATGTATAGCTATATATAGCCTATATATTGTTGCGCAGCATTTGGCATAGGCCTACATTTCAAATTAAAATGTTATGCAATTTTAAACGGTTAATCGGTTAAACATGGACACCCCTATGTGCATCTTGCTTCAGATCATAACGTTCACACCGATAAACTCCGCCTTTTACCTTGAACACGCCTCTAGCCCGAGCTGGCCCCCTCTGGCCCAAGGTATTCGACGGGCCAGAAATCCTGGCCGTTGGCCCTGAGGAAGCCCCGATCAAGCCCCGGAAGTGACAGTGGAAACGCGACTGGCCCTGGCACGCACTAGCACGGCCCGGCCCTGGCCCGGCAGTGGAAACGCGGCTAGTGACTTCTCGGACACATATTCAATTTGTCAATTTCTATTGAAAATGTGACATATTGCCCAAAAAGACACATTGTTCACAATTACCTCAACTTAATGTAAATAATATAATTATAACTTTTTTTGAATAAGTTCTTTAAATGTTTTTTTAGGTAATGAGATTGTGGTTGTAATTCATTTCGGACGGTTATTTAGTTGACATTTTAGGGATATCTAGTAATTTTTTATAAATAAATTATTATTTCCATAAAAATTAACTATGGAATTTGTAAAGACAAGATCATGAAGAACACTGAAGACTTTTAAAATTTTATTTTAGTGAGCATGTTTGCGAGATAAATCTCATTGACATGAAAACTTCCATAATTATATATTGACCCAGCTACAAAACTCGTTACATTATTTTAAAACAAAAAAAAACTAATTTATTTTCCATATTCTATACAGAAAATGAACAACAATATATACAAAGAAACAAAAAAAATATACAACAGAAATAAATTAAAAGTTTGCTGGAACGATCACAAAATTCAAACACTACACTACATTATTGAGTATTGCACTGCAACAGGACAAAGCAGTGAGGCAGAAGATAAGCAACACACGTGGCAAGTGGATCAGCCGATGGCAAAATCTCACAAATCCTCTTATATTCCCAAAAGCGGCCGGTGTGAGAGAACTCGGCCATCTCCTTCTTGGCCTCGATCACAGTATCTCTGATGTCCTTCTCGCTGCGTCCCTGCATGCAGACCGTGCGGAGGTGGCCCGGAAGAGTGTGCGGTGCCTTCTTGCAGATCGGGCAGAGGAAGTACATCCTGCTGTGGAAGTCAGCTTGTCCGTCCATTGCAACAATATCACCTCAGGATAATGCTCTCCTCACTGCAAGTTTGGAAGCAAAGTGCTTCCCTCTGAGAAATGGTTCACTGATAAGCCCGGCTCAGTTTAAAACCAGCCAATCAGAGCACAAGCTCCCATCAAGGTGTGAACAGCCCATTGCATGGGCTTCAAGTTGAACAGTTGACAGTGAGTCAGCTGCGCAGGTGCTGATGGGCCATTCTGAGGAAACAGGATTAGCTGATGGGCCATCATGTGTACCCGCCTTCTCTTCACTGCCTGGGTGCCCTCTTCGCTAGAGTCGTCAGAAGAGGAGCTGCAATATTGAAAAGGTTTGGAGGTTACACACTAACGAACTGATGGATGAGCGTTGAGAGACATTATAATTATAACAGATTTATAACATAATTATAGTACAGATAATTACATACCGTGTCAGGGAGCTGAGCAGGTTTGAAGTGGCCACAATAGCATCTAGGGTCTTCATCCTATAGTGCTGGTTTGCCACTGCATTGGAATTGGCCATGTAGTGGGCCACAGACGCCTTCTGCTGCTCTGTAAAGTTGGCAGCCACATCTGTCTCCACGGTCCGACGTATCTGCTGGCTCGTGATGTTGCGTAGTTTGGAGCTGCAATGGGGCAGAAATATCAGATGAACTCCCAAACTTGAACTATACAATTTTCTAGAGGCTGATCCGTTTAATAAATGCTACTTTATGGTCTTTTGGACTGCTGTCAATACTTACTAAATGTGCAGACGAGTGAGGTCGTTGGCGGCACTCTTAATTTTCGTGCCTGACGAAGAAACAAACAAGCCCCGAGGTCCAACTCGCCCGGGTCCCCGAGTTACAGCCGTTTAAAGTCGGGGGGTCCTGCTTTTTGCTGGTCGGAGAGGGGAAAAGATTTTTTACCTCAGGACTTAAATTAATTCCATCTCTTAAGCCAACAAACACTTTTTTTCGCTAAGTATCCCTGGCAGTAAATATGATGGCCCATTTAAAAACCATTAGAATAACGAAGTTTCGTTTCACAAGTTCGGGCAGTAAAACTGATGGCTCATTTAACCGTCAACGATCTCATGATGGCTCATTATCAGGTCTGCTCAGAGGCCTGTATTGGGGCAGAAGCCATTGAATGCAGACAATAATGCAGGCCTGGTGAGTATTTAAACATGCAGAATTTATTAGTTTTATCTTAAAAGAAGTCTTTTTACCATCAAACCTATATTTACTTGAAAATACATTACTAGAAATGCATCATTATACTATATTAATGTACTTATATTACAGGCCCGTGATTGCTCAATGAGATCTTCCTCTTCTGGGATGCTGCTCTTTTTCTTTTCAAATCTCAAGGTTTTTTTAATGTGTTTCCTATCAAAATGAAGCTCTTTATGTTCAGTTTACAAATATTTGGTCACATTTTCTCAGTTCTAAGTATTTTAAACCTATGAGATTTTTTGAGAAATAAGCAGAAAAAGTTTCAGCTGCCATGTTGTAATGGCCCATTGACACCCATTGTATAATACTGCGATCTGATTGGCTGGTTTGAGACACTCAGGAGGTTTATCTGGGACCCATTCTGCAAGAGAAACCACTATTCTTCAAATGCTTCTACTGTGCTGATCTGCTGAGAAGATCTGAATTGGAATTTGCTGAAATGGAAGGACAAGCTGAGAAGAGGTAATAGTTGTGTTTTTGTGTATTTACTGTTGAGCTCCATTTAAGTGGTTATTTCTTTTTTTTACTTATGTCTCATTCTTTCAGATCATAGTTTAAATAATTGATTCTATATCATGTAATTTTGTTTTTAAGGTCCGCTGGTCGCACCGTTGTCCACTGCTTGCAGTGCCACAAACCCCAGGAAAACCTTGCTGTTCACCTGGCCAGAGTCTGCATGAAGAAACGCACGCCCGAGGAGAGAGCTGCCGAGGTTCAGAAAGCCAAGGCTTCGAGCAGAGAGTGGGTTTGGATGAACAGGACCTGGGACTACAACCAGATCTGTGCGCTCCTGCCTCATCACCGCTCTCGCGTCATCATGGTCAAGGAGTTTCTTCAGCGTGGTTTTTTTATCACAAACCAGCCCCGCGAGTCTGACTGTGATGAAGATGATGCTTCTGCTCCTTCATCAGATCTTCCTCAAACGTAAGGGCAATCCTTAAACGCTTTAAATGTAAATTCTTTTCTCACTTTATGCTATTGATAACTTTAATAGTCTTGTCTGTTATGTTTAATCCAAACAGCCGGTTGGTTCAGAGGGCTCCTGGCATTAAACACTGCCAGAAGATCGTGAGAGTGGCGAAGCCGGACGTGCTCAGGATCCAGAGGGACCTGCAGGCGGGCAGAGAGCTCTCCAACACGGACCAGACGCTCTACCGCTACTACTGCGAGGCGCTCTTGGTGTTTGTCCACATGCAGCGTCCCAGAGCTGTGGAAGCCTTGACGGTGAGTTCATCTACTCTAACCAGTTTACACTTCGGATGTGCTTTAATATTGGCACACTTGTGCATTTGTAAATAACGCCTTCTCGATATTTTCCAGGATGCTGAGTGGGTGAACAAGACTAAGCTGGGTGACAGATTTGTGATCGGCGTACAGAGGGAGAAAACCTCGAGTATGCAGATTGCTCTGGCACAAGAGGAGGAAGCTGTAAGTTTTACTGATACAAACTGTTGATTTCTCTCCACCATTGTTTTAAATGGAATAACTCATCTGTCTTTTTTTTCCCGTAGTGCTTGGAGCTGTACTTCAGACGAATCAGGCCTGAGAACATTCAGCCGGAGAAACTCTGCAATAGATTCTTTGTTTCGTCATCCGGCATGGAAGTTCAAAGTGTCTCTCGGGACATGAATCGGCTCCATAAATTGTAAGTGCCTTACACGGGTCCATGTGTGTGTGTGTGAACGGATACACTTCTTTGTATCTTGCCTCATCACAGTCACATAACAATTAATATTTCCTTTTTGTTTCTGCAGGTACAAGCTGGCTCCTTTCTCTGCCCAGTGTGTGCGGAGGGCTGTTGAGGAGGCTGCAGAAAAGCTCCCGGCGCAGCAACAGGAGGCGCTGCACCATTACCTGTCCATCAGCACTGGTGCGGTCCGGCCGCAGGATGTCGTCGACGCAGCTCTGCTGCTGGAATCATTAGTCAGGTACACATCTCTTCATCCATTACTCATCACAAACAATTAGCACAACAAAAATAGCAAGTTTTCATTCATAATTTTTTGGTATATTATAAACCATGTATTCCTCTCTCATACAGCACTTCTGCAGACGAGACTTCCTCGGCCACAAGCTGTGCCGCTGGACCATCTGGGAAGAGCTTCGCTGAGTTCGTGGAGAGATTTCCTGTTTCGCCGGAGGGTCAGCCGCCATCCAAGAAGCAGCGCGTCGAATCAGGCTTTCCAGATGACCGCGTTTTTTACGATAAGTGGCGGATTACCCAGTATGCCCAGAGAGAGCGATATCTGCTGTGTGAGTCTCTGAATCCATCAATAGAGCATTGACACTCATTAACTCAACACAAAAACTAGGTCATTCATTTACAGCGACTCACATGAGTAACGTTATTTCATTCTATCTTTCAGCACATTTCACAGTCCGCAAGCCTTCGGCCGCAAAGGTGGCACGGCTTATCGCACAGGAGGGATGGAAGGTCAACTGTCCCAAGCCGGAGGACATCGAACGGCTGTGGACACCACCTTCGAAGGCAGCAGTTGAAGATGACAAGTTCATCATTCGCTGTGTGTCTGAGCAGAACTGGTCGGGCATGGCCATAAAAGACTTTGGTGACGAGCGTGGTTTTGGTAAGAAAACCTTTCATTTGTCTTGTAAGGGCAGAAAAAAACAATAATGTAAAATGTACAATTTAGCAGCCAATAACTGCAGCAAGAAATACATTTACATTCTGAACTGTTTGTCTACATGTAATGTTTGTTCATTAATTAAAAAATGTAATGTGTTCTCATTATTTTAGGAGTCGTGGCAACTCAGACTTTTTCAAAGAACGACATTGTTTGCGACTGCCACGGCAAGGTCATCCCAGCTGCACAAGGGAGGGCGATGGTGCAGGCCCAGCATGACGAGGCCGGGTACATGTTCTTCTTTAAAGCCGGAAAGAGAGATCTCTGCGTCGACGCCCAGACCTTTCCGTGCGAGTGCCACCCTGGCAAAGACACCGTTGGGAGGAGGATAAACCACTCCACAAAAGCGCCCAACCTGAAGCCCTTTCACTGCAGGTTACGTGTGAATGGGGAGGACAAGGATGTCATCCTCTTCAGGGCACTGAAGGACATCAGTGTGGGCGTTGAACTACGGTTCGACTACGGGGTCAAAAGGAAGTCCTTCCGTGGAGAGGGCCTACACCTGGACTGGCTGGATGGTTGAGAAGGCCTTCATCAGGCTGGAGTGGCTGGACTTTTGATTCCTGTTTTAAGGACTAGATTTTGCTGGACTCTCACAGACCATTTGTGTCACATTTTATGACACTGGGAACTGTGTATGAACTATCAATGTTTTATTTGTCAACTGTGAGCTCGCGAATGAACTATAGATGATTGGACACAAGGACGTCATCCTCTTCAGGGCACTGAAGGACATCAGTGTGGGCGTTGAACTACGGTTCGACTACGGGGTCAAAAGGAAGTCCTTCCGTGGAGAGGGCCTACACCTGGACTGGCTGGATGGTTGAGAAGGCCTTCATCAGGCTGGAGTGGCTGGACTTTTGATTCCTGTTTTAAGGACTAGATTTTGCTGGACTCTCACAGACCATTTGTGTTACATTTTATGACACTGGGAACTGTGTATGAACTATCAATGTTTTATTTGTCAACTGTGAGCTCGCGAATGAACTATAGATGATTGGACAAAATTGGGAGCTTGCGTATGGACTTGATGTTCATGTAAAAGGAGCCTCAATAGCGTCTAAACATTGTAGTTTCATGTAAATGGAGCCTCAGTGTGACCAATGAAATAATTGACCTTGATCTACGTCCTGGAGCTGGAGTGGTTGGATCTCTGACAACCCGGACAGACTCTATTTTTTTCAGACTGTGAGTTTGATCTACGTCCTGGAGCTGGATTGGTTCTCTGACAACCCGGACTTTTTCAGACTGTGATTTTGCCGGACGTCTGCTTGCCTCTCACAGACCATGTGTGACAAATTTAAATGGAGCCTCATTGTGAACTGACAACCCAGACAGACTGTATTGTAAGTAGAGTAAAGTACTTATTGTAAGCTCACTGTACATTCGTAAAATAACCTGTTGGGTTTTTTTTGTTTTTGTTTTTTTTGTTTACCACAGCAGGATTTTGAATAGGGCGCCACGCACTCTACCCGGGCATCCCAGGACAGTGTCTCCTTCCATCATCGGCTCCTCAGAGCTCCTTGAGGGATGCTGAGAGCGAGCCAGAACGGGAGAACCATTTCCATAAAGTTACGCATCTCTTTAACCATTCATTCACATATTGCTCACCTTTTATACTACTGCTGAATCAGATCAAATGCATTAATATTATGAACAGCAGCTATGCTAATTATTTCCCATCTGCCTTTCTGCTGTTATCTCGGGAAGCTTGTCCCGAGAAAATAGGGGTTCGTCAGCTCCAGTTTGTATCCAGCCTCTCACGGAGACTTCAGATGCCCCAACGCCTGTGATGAGAAGACCAACAGCTGTGAAGAGACGACTCAATGCTGGCGATATGTTATGCCCTTACTATTACATGATTAACTAAATGTATTTTTTTCCCTTTTAACTTTCCTGATATACACTTACTGTAAAGCTTCTATTGAAACAATATGTATGTAAGCCCGACTGAGCCTGGGTTCACTCAAGTTTTTATTCTCCATCCTGATGGAGTTTTGGTTCCTTGCCACTGTCGCCTTTTGGCTTGCTTAGTCGGGGATATTTGGTAATAAAATGTGCAAACAACATGCAGTGTATATAAATTCTTTTATATTGTTAATACTGTGTGACGTGTGTTTGACCATGTGATGAGTGTGTTTTTCTTGTGAAAACAGTTTCAAGTTAATAAAGTGTGCAAACAACATGCAGTGTGTCCTCACTTTCTCTGCTGTGCTAAAATGTCTGTATTTAACTCAAATCTCAAGCTTTCTTTCTTTCTTTCTTTCTTTCTTTTTTTTTTGCATCAAATTAAACTGTGAGTTCTGTACTTCTCAGTGCTGATAATCATTAAGCTTTAATTGGTCAGAGAAGTGAAGAGACGACCTCAAACTGTGCAGTGTATGTTATTTTCTGCCGGTAATTTCATGTTTCTCACACCAAAATGTCTTTTATTCTGCCAATTCACGAGATGTTGACATGTATTTTACTTCAAAATAAAGCTGAGTATGTGTCCTTTCATAATCCAACACTTATCTGGCTTTATCATGTTCATAGAGTGAATGAGACCTCATCAGGTTAGCTGACCTACAATTTTTTTAGCTGACCTAAAAAATCTGGGAGTAGTTTACCGTTGAATCCCAGGCCTTTGTCGTCACTGTCTCTGCTGTGCTAAAATGTCTGTATTTAACTCAGATTTATTTGTGCTACTCAATCTGTGTTTACAGCGTGTCCTTGGTAAGCATCTATTTACACATTTTGTGAGAGTAGTTTGTGTCAAGTATGGGCAATTAGGGTAATATCATAGAACATGTCACCACAATGGTTAATGCTTCTCATGATTTGTTTTTGTAGAACATTTTGGTCAGCATCCATTGTCTGGGCCAGGCAAACAAAACAGACGAGGGTCCAAGGCAAAAAGGATAATCCAAGAAAACAATGCTCAGCACCTGGATGGACAAGCAGGCAGGCTAATCATATGGCAAGGTATTTATTTCTAGCACATCTCATACACAATAGTAATGCAAGGTGCTTTACATATATTTTCTGGTAATGAATGAAAGTCATTTTAAAGGGGTGATGAACTGAGAAATCAAATTTTCCTTGAGCTTTTGACATCTAAGAGGTCATCATATTATAATAATATCCTGTAAGTTTCAGAACTGAAAACATCCTTGTTAGTCCAATAAAAGCTTTTATTGACACCAGCCTCTAAAAACGTCTCGTTTTTCAAAGTGGGAACTGTGACGTCAAAGAGGATAAAACACCACCCCCGCAGAAGAAGATCAACGCCTGCTTCAACACGGCAGGTTTAGCCCCGCCCACCGATTCACCCATTACACACATACATGTACATGCTGACCTCGTGATGACACTGGATCGAGCTACCGAGCAATACAGAATATTGTGCTGTGCAAGACAGTCGCTGCATAAGCTTCCTCTGGATTCCAATAGGAAAACGAGGGTTCGATCAATGTTAAAAGCAAGTTCGCGAAAGGTTGGTATCTCATGATGAACATTTTACACAATCACACATTAAAAGGTGGTGTAAAAATATGTTAAATTCTTAATACAATTCTGTAAGTGTGTTAATGTCAACCCGAGAAGCGATTATGCATACTGTTCTCTTCCAGCTATCCAGGAACGTGTCCATTGTCGGGTTTTCTTTCTTTTTTTACGTTTTTCTGCACACAGGACAGCCAATACAACACTCGCCGCTTCATCCATTGTTTGTTTACGTTCGTTTCCGGAAGTCACTCGCTAGTAGTTTCGCCTTCTCGATGACATCACGCGCGTCGTTAAAGACGGCACACGATGACTGGTCAGGAAGCAACGTGTAGTCTGACATGTTTCTTGTCCACGACAAGACAAGATTTTAAGAGTCAAAATCGCGTAATCTGACACAGTGACTATCGTAACAGACAAAAAAAATCGTGTAATCTGAACCAGGCATTACGGCCACTGCGTGAGAGTTAGCAGCTTGTACCAGGAACACTTTAAGGTAGGGCTGGGCGATTTGCGCCAATTTTTTAAAATGAAAATCGGTCAGATTCTGTCAATTTTATTACGAAATTGAAACAATAAACACAGTTTTGGCGCTTGTAAATGTGATGTGATCACGTGAAAGATCACTAACAGATCTCAGTTCAAGTGGCATGTGAACTGATCATCTGTTACTCTTTACTGCTATACCGAAATAAAACCGATCGATCAGTGTTTTTCAACCGCGGAAAGATGTCCATAAAACAGCTGGAGAAGTTGGAGAAAAACATGTGTCACGTAACGTTACATTTACCTCAGACTCAGGAATGCCTTTTAATGACCAAAGCACAAAGCACGCATGTTAGTTGGACTTAAAATAATTGCTATAGAGAGGAGTATTTTGCTAAATATGATAAATATGATAACTACCGGTATATTACACATTTATTATATTTTAACTATGTCATTAAAATATTGTAAAGTTGTTTGTTATTATAAAAAACGCATTATGTTTAATTTGAGTTAGTTTTAACCTTTAATAATACCAGCTGACAGGGCTCTCTGTATGTTTACAGCATTAGGTCATTTATTTTTGGAGAACAATTAACATAACACATTAACGTATCTACTGTACCTAATATTTATCCAAAGGAATTGATATTGAATCAATATCAGAATCAAATTTTTGAAATTGTGAAATTTGTGGTCATTCTATGATGATTTATTCTTTCCAAATAGAGCAATTCAAGTCATCTGGGGAAATTGTTGTAATATCGCAATATATATTAAGGAAATATAAAATATCGCAATGCCATTTTTTACCAATATTGTGCTGCTCTAGCGGTGATGTAATGTGAAACATAGACTGTTTTCTTCGTCTACTGGGAAGATGCTGAGCTCTGAAGAAATCCGGAGACAATTCAGCTGCCCTCCACTGGTCAAACTGCAAAGACTGACCAAACAAATTCAGATGCAAAAAATATCCATATGAGCCCTGAACTGCAAGTTGTACAAATTTCTTTCCGCTGTATGTAATAGTCTAGTTTACGACAACTTTGGTATTATTTTGACTTTTTTACTCTTTTGAAGAGAGACATTAAACTTTGTGTCTGATTTCACTGACTCACCATGTCTTTGTGTGATTGTTGTGATTCTAGAGAGAATGGAGACTCTTGTAATGAAATATGCAAATATTTTAAACTTTATTTGTAACTAATGGTACTATATCATAAAATGTCCGATGTATACAATCACAGGCCTATTTAGAAAATGTGTTTATTATAGTCTGTAATTAATTACTATAGTGGGAATATGATTTACTCAATTAACTTGTTCGAAATGCACTTGTGTTTTTTTTATAAAAAGGTTCACACACACTAGATTACAGCCTAAGCTACTGTTAATATGTAAATATAACGTTATCGTTTGTTTTTAAAGATTCGGATTTCTCCCTTAATAATTCCTAAAAAGCTGACATCTGTTATTAGCAATGAAACTGACTGCACAATGAATCTTTCATAATATCGATTTGCCAATATGCAGAATTCAGCACAAAAAGTCATATCTGCAAAAAGTCAATTTTGAGCCGTGAGGAGATTCCATCTTAAATGCTTCCGATTGGCCAATGCATTCAAGAAATTGACCCATATGTCTGTGATTGGCTACATTGTTAAACGCTGCAAACATGATATAAATAGATGGACTCTGGCC